CATGTCCCGAAACACAACTAAAAAGATCTACATTCTCAAATGAGATGCAAATACAAGGATCTGTTGGGAACAATGGCTAGACAGTCCCTGGAGTGGGAACGCTATCTGTTACACATGTCTAGAAACGTAACTAAATCAATCTGCATTCTCAAATGAGATGCAAATACAGGGTTCTGTTGGGAATAATGGCTAGAGAGACCCTGGAGTGGGAACGCTATCTGTTATACATGTCCCGAAACGTAAGTAAAAAAAATCTGCATTCTCTAATGAGATGCAAAAACAGGGTTCTGTTGGGAATAATGGCTAAACAGACCCTGGAGTGGGAACGCTATCTATTACACATGTCCCGAAACATAAATAAAAAAATCTGCATTCTCAAATGAGATGCACATACAGGGTTCTGTTGGGAATAATGGCTAGACAGACCCGGGGGTGGGAACGCTATATGTTACACATGTCCCATAACATAACTAAAAATTCTGCATTCTCAAATGAGATGCACATACAGGGTTCTGTTCGGAATAATGGCTAGACAGACCCTAGAGTGGGAACGCTATCTGTTACACATGTCCCGAAACATAACTAAAACAATATGCATTCTCAAATGAGATGCAAATAGAAGGTTTTGTTGGGAATAATGACCAAACAAACCCTGAAGTGGGAACGCTATCTGTTACACATGTCCCGAAACATAACTTAAAAAATCTGCATATCAAATGAGATGCAAATAGAAGGTTTTGTTGGGAATAATGGCTGAACAGATCCTGAAGTGGGAATGCTATCTGTTACACATGTCCCGAAACATAACTAAAACAATCTGCATTCTCAAATGAGATGCACATACAGGGTTCTGTTTGGAATAATGGCTAGACAGACCCTGAAGTGGGAACACTATCTGTTACACATGCCCGAAACGTAACTAAAAAATCTGCATTCTCAAAGAGATGCAAATACAGGATTCTGTTATATTAAGAATAATGGCTAGGCAGACCCTGGAGTGGGAACGCTATCTGTTACACATGTCCCGAAACATAACAAAAAATTCTGCATTCTCAAATGAGATGCAAATACAGGGCTCTGTTAGGAATAATGGCCAGACAGACCCTAGGGTGGGAACACTATCTGTTACACATGTCCCGAAACATAACGAAAAAAATCTGCATTCTGAAATGAGATGCAAAATGAGATGCAAATACAGGTTTCTGTTACACATGTCCCGAAACATAACGAAAAAAATCTGCATTCTGAAATGAGATGCAAATACAGGTTTCTGTTGGGAATAATTGGTAAACAGACCCTGGAGTGGAAATGCTATCTGTTACACATGTCTCGAAACGTAACTAAAAAAATCTGGATTCTCAAATGAGATACAAATACAGGTTTCTGTTATATTGGGAACAATGGCTAGACAGACCCTGGAGTGGGAACGCCATCTGTTACACATGTCCCGAAACGTAACTAAAAAAAATATGCATTCTCAAATGAGATGCAAATACAGGGTTCTGTTGGGAATAATGGCTAGACAGACCCTAGATTGGGAACGCTATCTGTTACACATGTCCCGAAACATAACTAAAACTATCTGCATTCTCAAATGAGATGCAAATACAGGATTCTGTTTGGAATAATGGCTAGACAAACCCTGGAGTGGGAACGCTATCTGTTACACATGTCCCGAAACGTAACTAAAAAAAATCTGCATTCTCAAATGAGATGCAAATACAGAGTTCTGTTAGGAATAATGGCTAAACAAACCCTGAAGTGGGAACGCTATCTGTTACACATGTCCCGAAACATAACTAAAAAAATTTGCATCTCAAATGAGATGCAAATTGAAGGTTCTGTTGGGAATAATGGCTGGACAGATCCTAGAATGGGAATGTTTTCTGTTACACATGTCCCGAAACATAACTAAAACAATCTGCATTCTCAAATGAGATGCACATACAGGGTTCTGTTTGGAATAATGGCTAGACAGATCCTAGAGTGGGAACGCTATCTATTACACATGTCCCGAAACGTAACTAAAAAAATCTGCATTATCAAATGAGATGCAAATACAGGGTTCTGTTATATTGGGAACAATGGCTTAGACAGACCCTGGAGTGGGAACGCCATCTGTTACACATGTCTCGAAACGTAACTAAAAAAATCTGCATTCTCAAATGAGATTCCTAGAGTGGGAACGCTATCTATTACACATGTCCCGAAACGTAACTAAAAAAATCTGCATTATCAAATGAGATGCAAATACAGGGTTCTGTTATATTGGGAACAATGGCTTAGACAGACCCTGGAGTGGGAACGCCATCTGTTACACATGTCTCGAAACGTAACTAAAAAAATCTGCATTCTCAAATGAGATGCAAATACAGGGTTCTGTTAGGAATAATGGCTAAACAAACCCTGAAGTGGGAACGCTATCTGTTACACATGTCCCGAAACATAACTAAAAAAATATGCATCTCAAATGAGATGCAAATAGAAGGTTTTGTTGGGAATAATGGTTGAACAGATCCTGAAGTGGGAATGCTATCTGTTACACATGTCCCGAAACATAACTAAAACAATCTGCATTCTCAAATGAGATGCACATACAGGGTTCTGTTTGGAATAATGGCTAGACAGACCCTTGAGTGGGAACACTATCTGTTACACATGCCCGAAATGTAACTAAAAAATCTGCATTCTCAAAGAGATGCAAATACAGGATTCTGTTATATTGGGAATAATGGCTAGGCAGACCCTGGAGTGGGAACGCTATCTGTTACACATGTCCCGAAACATAACAAAAAATTCTGCATTCTCAAATGAGATGCAAATACAGGGTTTTGTTAGGAATAATGGCCAGACAGACCCTAGGGTGGGAACACTATCTGTTACACATGTCCCGAAACATAACGAAAAAAATCTGCATTCTGAAATGAGATGCAAATACAGGTTTCTGTTGGGAATAATTGGTAAACAGACCCTGGAGTGGAAATGCTATCTGTTACACATGTCTCGAAACGTAACTAAAAAAATCCGCATTCTCAAATGAGATACAAATACAGGGTTCTGTTATATTGGGAACAATGGCTAGACAGACCCTGGAGTGGGAACGCCATCTGTTACACATGTCCCGAAACGTAACTAAAAAAATTATGCATTCTCAAATGAGATGCAAATACAGGGTTCTGTTGGGAATAATGGCTAGACAGACCCTAGATTGGGAACGCTATCTGTTACACATGTCCCGAAACATAACTAAAACTATATGCATTCTCAAATGAGATGCAAATACAGGATTCTGTTTGGAATAATGGCTAGACAAACCCTGGAGTGGGAACGCTATCTGTTACACATGTCCCGAAACGTAACTAAAAAAAATCTGCATTCTCAAATGAGATGCAAATACAGGGTTCTGTTAGGAATAATGGCTAAACAAACCCTGAAGTGGGAACGCTATCTGTTACACATGTCCCGAAACATAAATAAAAAAAGCTGCATCTCAAATGAGATGCAAATTGAAGGTTCTGTTGGGAATAATGGCTGGACAGATCTTAGAATGGGAATGCTTTCTGTTACACATGTCCCGAAACATAACTAAAACAATCTGCATTCTCAAATGAGATGCACATACAGGGTTCTGTTTGGAATAATGGCTAGACAGATCCTAGAGTGGGAACGCTATCTATTACACATGTCCCGAAACGTAACTAAAAAAATCTGCATTATCAAATGAGATGCAAATACAGGGTTCTGTTATATTGGGAACAATGGCTTAGACAGACCCTGGAGTGGGAACGCCATCTGTTACACATGTCTCGAAACGTAACTAAAAAAATCTGCATTCTCAAATGAGATACAAATACAGGGTTCTGTTGGGAATAATGGCTAAACAGACCTGTAGTGGGAACACTATCTGTTACATGTCCCGAACCATAATTAAAAAATTCTGCATTCTCAAATGAAATGCAAATACAAGGTGTTTTTGGGAATAATGAATAGACAGACCCTGCAGTGGGAACGTTATCTGTTACATATCCCGAGACAACTAAAAAAATCTATATTCTCAAATGAGATGCAAATACGGAGTTCTGTTGGGAATAATGGCTAAACAGACCTGTAGTGGGAACGCTATCTGTTACATGTCCCGAAACATGACTAAAAAATCTGCATCTCAAATGAAATGGTAATATAGGGTTCTGTTGGGAATAACGACGAAACAGACCCTAGAGTGGGGTTGCTATTGTTTACATGTCCCGAAACATAACTAAAAAAACTGCATTCTCAAGTGAGATGCAAACTGATTGTCTGTTCTATTAGGAATAATAGCTAAATATATATTGGAGTGGGAACGCTATCTGTTACATGTCACGAAACAAAGTTAAAAAAATCTGCATTTTCAAGTGAGATGTAAATACATGGTTCTGTTGGGAATAATGGCTAAACAGACCCGGAGTGGTAATGCTATCTGTTATATATTTCGAAACATAATTAAAAAAATCTGTCGTCTTAAATGAGATGTAAATACTGGGTTCTATTGGGAATAATGGCAAAACTGACCTTTGAGTGGGATAAATGCGGTGGGTTACTCTGCTGGGAACAATGGTTAAAGAGACCCTTGAATGGGAATGCTATCTGTTACATGCGAAACAATTGAAAATCTGCATTTTCAAATGACATGCTAAATAGACCTTGGAATGGGAATGCTATTTGTTACATGGCCCGAAACGTGATGCAAAAATCTGTTCTATTAGGAACAGACTTTGGAGTGGGAACGCTATCTGTTACATGTCGCGAAACATAATTAAAAAAAATTTGCATTCTCAAATGAGATGCAAATACAAGGTTTTATTGGGAATAATAGCTAAATAGACCCTGGAGTGGGAACATTGTCTCTTTATATGTCTCGAAACATAACAAAAAAAAAACTCAAATGATATGCAAATACAGGATTCTGTTGGGAATAATGGCTAAACAGACCCTGGAGTGGGAACGCTATCTGTTACATGTCCCGAAACATAACTACAAAAATTTGCATTCTCAAATGAGATGCAAGTACAGGGTTCAGTTGGGAATAATGGCTAAACGACCCTGGAGTGGGAAAGCTATATGTTACATGTCTCGAAACATAATTAAAAAAAAATCTGCATTCTCAAATGAGATGCAAATACATGGTTCTGTTGAGAAAAATGGCTAAACAGACATTGTGTTATATGTCCCGATACATAATGCAAAGATATGCATTTTAAAATGAGATAAATGCGGAGGGTTTTTTCTGTTGGGAATGATGACTAAAGATTCTCTGAAATGGGAATGCTATCAGTTACATGACACGAAACAATGAAAAATCTGCATTTTCAAATGCAATGTAAAATAGAGGCTCTGTTATATTGGAAATAATGGCTGAACATACCTTAAAATGTGAATGCTATCTATTACATGCCCTGAAATGTAATGCAAAAATGTGCTTTTCAAAACGAGATAAAGGCAGAGGGTTCGAAATAATGGCTAAAGAGACCCTAAAATGGCAATGCTATCTGTTATATGTCTAGAAACCTAATGAAAATCATGTATTCTCAAATGAGATGCAAATACAGGGTTTTCTATTGGGAATGGTGGCTTAACAAACGCTGGAATGGGATCTGTTAAATGTCCCGAAACATAATGCAAAAGTATGTATTCTCAAATGAGATGGGTTGTTTTATTGGGAATAATGGCTAAATAGACCCTGCAATGGGAACGCTATCTATTTACATGTCATGAAATATAATGCAAAAATCTGCATTCGCAAGTGAGATGCAAGCAGGTGGTCTGTTCTATTTAGGAATAATAGCTAAACAGACCTTAGAATAGGAATGCTATCTATTACATGTCCCGAAACATTAAAAAATGCATTCTCAAGTGAGATGCAAATGTCAGGTTTATTCTGTTGGGAATAATCGTCTCTTGAATGGGAATGCTATCTGTTACATGCACAACGATGAAAAATCTGCATTTTCATATGAGATGCAAAATAGAGGGTCTGTTATATTGAAAATAATGGCTAAACAGACCTTGGAATGAGAATGCTATCTGTCATTCCCCAAAACGTAATGCAAAAATCTGCATTTTAAGATGAGATAAATGCAGAGGGTTTGTTCTGTTGGGAAAAATGGCTAAAGAGACCCTGAAATGGGATTATTACTATCTAATGCATGTCCCGAAACATGAGAAAAAACATGTATTCTCAAATGATATGCAAATACAGGGTATGTTATATTGGGAATGATGGCTAAACCGATACTGGAATGAGATTGCTATCTATTAAATGTCTCGAAACAAAAGCAAAAGTATGCATTCTCAAATGAGATGGTCTGTTCAATTGGGAATAATGACTAAACAGACCCTTAAATGAGATTACTGTCTAATGTATGTCCCGAAACATAATGCAATAATCTGCATTCGCAAGTGAAATGCAAACAGATGGTCTGTTCTATTTAGAAATAATAGCTAAACTGACCCTGAAATGGAAACAGTATATGTTACATGTTCCGAAACATAATTAAAAAAATCTGCATTCTCAAATGAGATGCAAATACAGGGTTTGTTTTCCCAATAGCTAAACAGACCCTTTAAATAGGAACGCTATCTAATGCACATCCCGAAATTTTGGAGAACAGAGTGATCGGTGCGCTAGCATATGGAACTGGTTATGGTGCTCTGAACTGGACAGGGCCAGCCCTCAAAGTTGTGAAAGTTTGCAAGCCTTGTGTCAAATGGGATTATGATGGCCGGACCTATGCGATAGATTGCTATTTGAAGTTGCTTGTTAGGCTGTGCCATAGTTATGATTCCCGGGGAGGAATGAAACGACTTAAAGATGGTGCGTCTCAGGATCAAATTTTAAATAAGACGAGATTGCAGGCAGCACGAACTTGTCAAGGATCTCCAAAGGGGTAAACATGTCAATTTTCATCTAAATTTTGTGTGCCCGGAACGAAAGATAAATGGTGTTGATCCTTTTTCATGTGCCATTTCGCAGTACTTGATCACCAAACAAATTTATAGACTGTAAGATGTGCATGCAGTTTTATTATGTGCCCAGAGGATGGGGTCTCAACATGCAAGAGCTGGCCAACTGATTACCAAAGAGCTTGAAGAGTACAGGAATCATGCTGTTGCTGATACAGTTAGCAAGCTGCAAAGGATTAAATATGCTTCAAATCATCCTGAAAACAAGTGACCTTTCTTTCTGCTTAGTTTGATATTGTGTTCTGCTTAATGTCTCCTGCTTGCTGCAAGTGCTTGAAAGTACAATGACTGAAACCCGTTGCGTAATCTAGTATGTATGTTCGGTCCCTTTAATTCCTATGTCATTCCTGGAATGAAACATATATAAACTTGTTGCTCTCCAGGTGTCCTGGGGTTGGTGAAACGAGAGGAGATTATCCATTCAGCCACCACAAGCTCACTGTTCAATTCTATGAGCCATCTGCTGCCCAAGACAGGAAATTAGAACGATTAATTCACAAGGCTCATTGTAGAGCTCTGGAGGCCAAAAGTCAACTTAAGCAACGGTTGTTGCTAACTTGTTATGTTTGGTCAGACAAATGGACGGCTGAGATGAGTTATTCGAACCGCGTGAATGATGACGCGGCACAAAACGACTCGTTCTTTGTGTCAATCATGTGCGATATCCACTAGATAGATACACGCGTATGAATTTGAGGTGTCATTCAAATACTAATAATTAAAAAAAAATATTGATAAAAACATGTTAAAATTTTCCAAACCAATTCAAATGCCTCAGAAGCAAAATATACGATTTTCAAAAAAAAAACGAAATATCCAAATATTTTTTTTATCGTTCTTTATAGTTAAGTTAACCATCTTACCAACAAAATCATAAAAGTCAAAATTTTCAAACCGACATATATAATATAAATGATCAGTAATATTCCCAAATTAAGTGTGATGGTAAACTAATACATATTGTCAAGTGGGTCATATACTATATATACACATATATAATGAAAAAGGTTTTAATTTGTGAAGAGACTTAAAGCAAAATGAATGGAGTGCATTGAGGTTCATGAGTAATAATGTAAAGTTGGTCAACATTTGTTTACGGGGAAAGAAACTATAAACAATTACAATTCACAAAGCACCACCATGTGATCATCCTTCGATCCCAAGTAATCTTTTTCACCATTTACGTACACACAAACACACGCGCACACACACACACTATATATATGTATATATATATACACACACACACATCATTGAGAGAGAAGAGCAATGAAAAGCATTGACAATTCATTATTTGTTCGTTAGAAATCGCCACATCAAATTTATTATTAACATTTTCATAATAAATATTGTAGCATTTATGAGGAAGCTATGTGGCATGTGGCACACATTAAACCTTCGATTTCGGTGTATAGTTTTCCAATACCAATAAAATAATTAGTTATATCCAAAACACGACAAGAAAAAAAAAACACATTTGGATTTATATATGTCATAGTTTCACTGCTGACTTTTTCTATGAAATAAACTCAATCGAGTTTTAAAAAATTCATGGCTAACGATGTTACTATTTCAACGAGTGTTTGGGAAATATATATTTTAACTAGGAAATATTGTGTTAGAAACGTAATTCTTCGTCTACGTTTTCTTCTGTTTTCGTGTATTTGTTTGATATTCGACAAAATACTGAAAACAAACGTTAGATTTAATAAAATATACGTATATAAGTATATATAAATTTGTATATTTATTCATGTACTTATTCCGTGTATAAAATATAAAATAATCTCTGCTTATAATCCACGAGTGTGTGTATACAAGTATCTAATTAAGTAAAAAAAGATTATATATTTATATTATAACATATTATAATACCATTCTTATTTTTGCTAATCAAGAAGCAACCCTTCTAAAACTTACGCACAAGCAATCTCCATGCCTTAAGAGTCTAAGACTAACCTAAAAGATACAAGGTTATTAGTAATAACCCTCTTTAACAAAAAAATAATAATAAACTTTGCAAAAATTTTACCCAAAAAAAACTTTACAAAATAATAAATAAATAAATAATTGATAAATAAAAATACAAAAAAATAAAAATAGGGTCTACAATGTAAAGAAGCAGAGGGAGAGAGAGGATTGGTTCGACCCACTACCCCGCGATCTTTTCTCCCCAGTTAAAGGAAAATGGTTTTCGCCACGTCATCATCTCTCCTAATATATATATACATATATATATATGTATCTGCTAATATAAAACTAAAAGTGATTTAGCTACCAATATAATAATTCCGAATGATATTTTCGGCTTGATTATTTCGATTATTTTAAACTTCATTATTCTAATTTATAAAAAATGTACCCACCTAATTTTTATTTTAGTTTGAGTTTGATTGGTGTTTTGCAGATTATTCAAACCATTTTTTATCTTGTTTTCTATTTGTATATATAATGGGTTTAATGTGATAAAAAATAATATTAAAACAATTTTCACATAAAATCTGATTTAAATATAATTACTATTCAAATATCCACGCCCTGATCAGCATAAAGGTCATCATAAATATAAAAATTCAAATTGTTGTGAACTTGTGAATATTAAAAAAATTTAGAACATTTCCGTCGTTATTAAAAAAATAATAAATTTACAAGTCTTTAGCTTGAACAGGTGCGCATTCCCGATACAGGTGACTATTACGACATCCAAATCCCTTGTATATTTGTTTACTAAAAACTTTAGTTGCAATTTTTAATGAAAGAAATTACTACAATTTATTTATATTTGTTATATAATCTATAATTAAATTCATTTAATAGATAAGATCAAAGCCGACATCTTCAATCGATGGGTTTCATTTTCTGCGTGGCTCACACGTTGAAAATGAATGCAGGTTCGGTATAGGTAGATACGGTAGATAATTTGAGAGACCGTATGTGAAATCTAATTAGCATTAAACCCTTTTGTAAACAAAGTAAATTATTTCTTAATTTCGCTGTTAATTGAAGATTAATGAGAGATTAGTGTTGAAGAGAGAGAAAGGCGAAAGAAGAAGAAGAAGAAGAAACAGACGCGAAAGTTCCTGCACTTGTTCAGATTTCCAGTCCTGAGAGAGAAAAGCGAGTGAAATCGGAGAGAAATTAGTACATCGCTCTCTCTCTCTCTAAAACCCTGTTTCCCCCCTCTTTTTTGGTTTCTCTGAGGATTCAGGAGGAAGAAGTACAAAACTTGAGCGAGAAGGAGAGAGAAAGTTGCTTCTTTTTCGTCTTCTGCCGCTTGATCTGACATTGTTGACTACTCCTGGTCTCGGAATCAGCTTCTTGCTGAAAAGGGTTTCTGTTAGTTCGTCCTATCATCGCGAAAACAGAGGCTGTGGTTCTGGGTTTGTCTCCTGATTTGCTGTTTCCTCCGGCCAATCTGGTTTCTTACCACTTGTTTGGTAAATGTCCGGAAATTTTCTTCTTATGGGTTTTCTCATTTTCAAGTACGAAAGCGTGTTATTGGGTTCATGGGAATTTATTCTTTTTTCAAACTCTCGAGCTGGCAATTGCGTTTCCGTGTTTTTCTACACCTCCTGCTGA